ATACATATCTGACCTCAGGGCCCATGGTTCATTATCAAGACCCACCTTGTCCTTCTCTCTTATCACCTTCTGTACCGGGCAATCTGCCTAAATGGTACAGAAGGTGATAAGAGACAAGGACATGGCGGGTCTTGATAATGATGATGATGAAGTTTCTGATGAGTAATGTTATTGACAAATGTCCTTGACTAGTCAAGGACATTTGTCAATAACATTACTATTACATTATAATGTATAATGTTCATTAATTTATTTTTTAAAATTAATGAACCACAATAAATATACATTATTATTGTTCCAATCACTGGTAATAAAATGTCGTGGTTGAATGTATTGACCTTTCCCACGAATCCCACTTTGCAGCGTTTAGCAATGAATATCATGTTGTGGGATAGATATACAGAGATGCATGGGCAAAAAATGCATAATCACACAGTGGTGGGAAAGGTCTATATACTGGTTGCTATATAAAATTGGGAAATGTATGTCAAGCAATTTGAGTGTATATGTACATGTACATGTCAAATTAATAATGTAAATCAAATCTTAATTAATGCAATAAAAACAAGACTATGGTTGTACTACATTATTATGATATTCTTGAGTAGTCTCTTAGAATATATTTGGGTATAACACCACTGTGTAATGAGTAATAATATGTCACAACTTGACTATGTGTATAGTATGTGCAAGTAGATCCAAAATAATTAAATTATTATTGAAGGATTGTACCGTATAGCGGAAATTTTGGAGGGAATTAAATTTGGTGAATTGGCATTTTGATAGCCATTCACCAAAATAAAAATCAGCCATTTATAGTCATTATGTGCATGCTCAATGGCACATGGCCACAAATTTGCCAAATTAAAATCTGCCAATTACCAAAATTTAGCAATTCGCCAAATTTTACTCCCTCCAAAATTTCCCGCTATACAGTAAAATACATGAGTAACTATTGTAATTGCCATAATTATCCTCCCACTTGCCATTCCTCTACTTGCCATCCTCCTACTTGCCTTAGTAAGAGGAATGGCAGGTGGGAGAACAATTTGGCAATCACAATAGTTACTCATGTATTTTATAGTCTTTTAATAATAATTTAATTTTTGGACATACCATACCGCTACACAAAGCAAGCTAAGATATGGCACTATTTATTTATTTTCTATGTACTCTAAGGTAGGAATAAGTGTATGCTGTGCAGACTAGCTTTTAATGATACTATTGACCAACTAATCTGGTAGTATTGTAATTGTTTTTGTATTACCATTTGCCACTTCCATGAAAACATGAACATTAACCTTACAATTACCAGTATACAACTATCACTATAGTAACATTGTGCTTGAGAAAGATAACCAATAAGTCAATGATGATAATACTTTATTAAGGTGCATGTGCACGAAAATCTAAAATAGCATTTTCACATCAATCTCATGATTTTGCATGTACATCTCCAGTATCGAGCGTACTTTATTTATTAGTACTAAGCTACAGCTGTATAGTCAAGTAATTTAAGATATTATTACTAATGAGTGAGTAGTAAGTGGAAATATGCATGACTAACCTTATTAATGTCATCACAACAAGCACAATTATGGTTTACTATGTACTTTAGACAAGTTATGCACACATTAATAATAACATGTCTTGCAGAGAAGAATTATTTTTATCTTATTCATAGGGCATGCAGATTAATGTTTAAGCTAGTATGTTGAGTTTGTTACAAATAAAGATCTTCAGCAAGTAAAAAAGAGCAACATCTTGAAACTCAGCCTTTTGCTACATAAATTGTGTAGCTCTTAATAGATTTATACAGCTAATTAACTATTCTAACTTTACTCTAGACAGGATGTTATTGCATCTGTTACTATATAAAGCAGTATAGATCTATAAAAATAGTCTATCCTTGGCAAAACTCATCTGCAAGGTGCAGTTATGATAAGGCTAGCTCTGCTTGTCCTTTTGCTTGCAACTGTTAACTGTAGCCCAAGTAAAGTTTTAATGTATTGCAACTTAGATATCATTCATGTTCTTTATATTATAAGCTAAACGCAGCTGGAGTGGCCCAGGGCCAGACAAAAATGATGGTAAGTTGTGAAACAGTCATATAATGAATTAGTCTTTTTTGTGATAGACCATCTGTTGGAGCCATTAGCAGTCAAGCCAGAAGACAAGGAAGAAAGCAATCTAGACCTTGGTGAAGAACATACTCAAGACAAAAAGGATGACCTAGATGATGACAAGAATGACAAAAATACCAATAACCAAGATGACCATGAAGATAATGATGAAGATGACAAAAACATTAACAAAGATAATGGTGATGAAAAGTATAACTTTAAGACTGAGATAACAGAATGTGAGTCAAAACAGTCTGTAATGCACAATAGTATTCATTTATATAATCTTTTTTGCAGTGACAGAGGAAGTTACCCAAGTACCAGCTAATTTAAGTATGCTAGCTATCTTTGTTTTTTTATAGCAGCCTATATATGCGATTATTTTAGGTGGAGAGTATAGTAGTGGTGAAGATATTTTAGAGGGAGATATCAAACTGACTCCAGAGCAGGCTGCACTATTCAAGCGTAGTGGGTGGGATGGGTTAGTCAATTCTGAAGCCTGGCTTCGTGGTCACGGCAAATGGTCAAGGACTATTCCATACACAATTAATGGAGTTGGTTAGTAAAATTTGTATAAATGTTACGCAATGAAATTTGATTTTATCTAGCTACAAGGGAAATAAATGCCTTAAACAATTCAATTCAAATTTTCAATGAACACACTTGTTTAAGATTTATTCCAAAACGAGACTATAATAATGATTACATCGAATTTATCAGTAATGGAGGGAGGGTAAGCTCTGTTTAAACTAGTTTTAATATTTTCAATTCTGATTCCAGTTGCTGGTCCTATATTGGTAAACTAAATAATGCTAGTCCTCAGCGAATCTCATTATCTAGTGGTTGCCATCTTGCAGTCCCTGCTCATGAGATAATGCATGCACTTGGGAGATATCATGAACAATCACGAGCTGACAGGGACACTTATGTCAGAATAATAACTAGCAATATAAGTACACTCATTGATTTAAATATTATGCAATAAACTATTACTACTATAGGAAGTGGACGTGAAAGAAATTTTAACAGACAAAATAATTCCGACAGTCAATCTCTACCATATGATTATCTTTCATTGATGCATTATAGTAGATATGCTTTCAGTAAAAATGGTCGTCCTACAATTATACCAATACCTGATGCAAGCGTCACCATTGGCCAGAGAAACAGGATGTCATTATATGATATACAGCATGTCAATATTCGATACTGCCCAGGTAATTTGTATGAAAGAAATTTTAAATGTAAGTGTTATCAATTTAGAAAGAGCACTTCGATTAGTGGGAGGAAATGGATCATATGAAGGAAGGGTTGAAGTGTACTGGGATGAACGGTGGGGAACTGTCTGTGATGATTATTTTGGTCAAAATGATGGTCGTGTCATTTGCAAGTATTTGGGTTTCCCTGATGTTGCTGCAACATACCGTAGAGCTCGATTTGGGCAGGGAACTGGTCCAATAGTAATGGATGACCTACGTTGTGCTGGTAATGAGTACAGTCCTTTTGCATGTCCTATGAGGACTATTGGTACTCATAACTGTGGTCATCATGAAGATGCTAGTGTAATGTGCGAGAGTAAGTATGTCAATTGTAAATAGTAACATTAGCAGTCCATGTTTGTAGAAAATGTTCGTCTTGCTGGTGGTTGTGTTACTAGCAACTATGCTGTTGGCCGCTTGGAAGTGTATGCTGAAGATCATTGGGGAACCGTCTGTGACGATTTATTTGGCATAAATGATGCGCATGTTGTTTGTCGTCAACTAGGATACAGGACAGCTAGTCATGTCTACCCTCGTGCTCTCTATGGACAAGGTACTCTTCCAATATTGATGGATGATGTGCAGTGTACTGGTGGAGAGGCACAGATCACTCATTGTCCCAGTACTCCTATTGGTGAACACAACTGTCGACACTATGAAGATGTTAGTGTTCGCTGTGTTAATTGAATTGAACACTGTAAGTTTAATAAGATCATTCCCATCTAACTCTCCTTCCTTTGACAGGATAATGAACATTATCAAGAACAGACATATTAGATTTTGTAGTTGTTGAACTGTTGTAGCAATAGACTTTAGTTCATTATGTAGTTGATTTTGATATTTTAGTCATCAGTTGATATTTCAATAATGTCATGCAATAAATAAGAAATAGTGAATGAGAGTGACAAACTACAATATTAATATATAGCCAAAATTTAATGAAATGTGCCAATTCCAAAAACTTGCTCTGAAATTATATGCACCAAAATTTTATTTTTATTAATACATAATGTTTATTGAACCACTTTTGACTTAAGTTATGGCTATTTTTTATAAGTAGCAAATTTTTGAAAAAAAGCAATTACTATTATAAAGCACATGGTTTTTTTTTCAAAAAACACTTGGAAATCACCCTCAATTTTATGACATATTGATATTTCAAGGTTCATGCTATGTAGAAAGTTTGAGCCAATTCTGACTTCAATTTTTGAATTATGGCCATTTTTAAATAGGCCTATTTTTTAAATTTTGTACAGTAATAAATGAGCCTGTTCATGCTTTTTCAAAATATGGCTCCAAAATTAACTTAATTTTATTACATTTCTAAGATACATATTGATTAATTGATGTACTTATACTATGTATATATGAAGTTTTAAAGCCAGTTCTAACTGAAATTTTGTTGATTGTACTATATTGCAGCTACATGTACATATTCATGTATATCAGGCCCATATGTAGACTAATAATAAAAAATGCATGTTGTTATTATTATTATTATGTTACAGTTATTATTATTTTCATAACAGAAGGGACATTATTTTTATTAATATTTTTTTCCTAAACCAGATGCACTTGAGTCACACCCAAACAGATAAAAGAGGAAAAAGAAGACATGACGTGAGATGCCAGCTGCAGCTCCAACCTTATCACATCAGTATCGGACTAGGCCAGTTAGACATCATAATATTTTAATTAATGCTATCATTGATTGTTAGAAATAGCTTTAATCTCCCTATATTACTGTGTGAGGAATAAAGATTATGATAAATGAATTTACTCTGCTCATTAAAATTTAGGTGAATTGCTTCATTTTGGTTGCCAAATTTGTGGGCAATGATTTTAAAAGGTGTGTTTCATTATAGGCTTCATTTTGGCAAGTGCTTGTCAAAATTCCCTCTAAAATTACCAAGTACATGATGAGAACTTTCCGTAGAAAAGCAAAGACAATAATTGTTTTGTTTGTTGATCAAATGTTATAACAACTTTATTTAAGTAGCCATAAAACTATTCTGTCATCGTATATCAAACCTTTAAATTTGTTATGGTAATCATACAGTGGTTAAAATGAACATCAAAAGATTGGTTAATATTTGAAATCATCACTATGGAATTCTTGTATCTATAAACTATTGCTGTTTGCTTTGTAAAACATGAAGTAAGTTTTTGTCTCAACTGTCACTTTCAGTTTCAGCAGTGATAGATTATAAATACTAGGCTTAATTGGTAGCATACTGTCTGTATGTTTTGCGATGTATTCTAGAATGATTTTATGTTTATTCTGTCTGCTGGTTTTTATTTTGTTCCCTTGTTCTAATTCATCTCCAGTGGATGTCATTCACAGTGTCACTGATAGTTCCCAATTGGAGAGTATCTTGTGTACTGATAATGAAGTATTATTCAGTAATGATGTCACTCTGCTCCTTTATACTAATGTAACTCATGAAATAACTCAAAATAAGTACTGCAGAGCTAATATAAGTCGTTCTCTTAACATTATCAGTTATCCAAAAGATGCTATAGCTCACATTTACTGTACAAATTCAAGTAAGAACTGGACTAATGGGTTTGCGTTTTACGGTTCCAATGGCTCATTAACAATGAGAGGACTTCGTTTTAATAATTGTGGTATTAATCTCACTACATTAGATAGTGACATCAATTCTACAAGTTACCTTTCTTTCACTGATGATCACACTACTGCTTTGCTATTGAGCAATATTGCTAATGTTCAAGTGACAAATGTCACTATATTGAACTACACTGGGTTGCTATTGTAGCAGTTAATCTTCCTAATGCATCTTTTAATTTCCTTAATATCAAATGGCCTGCATTTAACAGTTATCTTTATGGCAGTGAATTATTTGTATTGTATACAAATTTAACAACACATTCAGCAGTCAATGATTCTCCTGGCCATTATATGCAAATCAGAAATTCTACTTTTCTTAAGCTTCATGCAAGTTACTGGCCTTATCGGTGTGACTGTCCTTTAACTTATAGGCATCCTATGCCTGCTATATATGGAGCAGGTCTCACAATATATTATACACAAATTTTACCAGCTAATGTGAACATTTCTAATAGCAAGTTTGAACGGTGTCATGGTAGATATGGAATAATGTTAATAATGCAGTTTAACTCTTCAATTAGTTCTCGTACGTACAATCATTAATAATTGCTATTTTTATGGCAATGCCAATTATCAGAGGAGCCCATGCTTAGGAGCAGGTATTTATTATAATTTCTACATTGGAAGCCGTACAAATGATTACCCAAACAACGCAAATATGACTTATACCCCACTACGTCTCATGGGTACAAATTTTACCCAACAACAAGACTCAAGAACAATTGGAGTAAAACCACATTAGCTCATCCAATACCAATTCAACTCTGCTAATAATACCTTTCATAATAATACTGCTTTTGCAGCTGGTAATTGCATATCAGCTTCTGTAACTGATGATGGGGTGCCAAATGCTGTACTATTAATATTGGAATCAATAACTGCATACAAGAACAGAGGTATAAATTATGCCAGCAGCCCTACGATGCTAGAAAATGGAACTTTCCCATTAGTTGCATTTTATCTCACACAACTCAACAGAATTATTATAGACCCCTTTAGGCGAGAATTAGTTTGTGATACCGTATATACAAAGAAATAATATTGAACGGATTTTTGTCCGCCATGTTTTACGTCAAAGTTATGCAGAGTTCCAATGGCTGATGTGCAAAGTAGAGCTGTTTTGCCAATAAAACTTTTGTTGTGCTGAACTCAAGACTATGAGAGACTTCATATCAACTGTTCTTTACTATAGCAAGGTATTTTGAAGACTTAAGAAGTCTGGGAGAGCCAGGGGCGTAGCTTGACCTTGGGTGATGGTAGGGCAAGGAGACAAAATGGTGCGCGAAGCGCGCCACGATTTTGGCCATATCCCTTTTACATACCAAAATGGGTAGGGTCTCAAAAGCGGACGGACGGACGGACCCGCCCCGCCCGAAAAAGGACGGACGGACGGACTGATGCGGACCCGACAGGACCATAAATATCCATGTAAAGGACAATCATTCGTGGATAGTCTGTCTATAAGACACTTCTATACTTGGACAATAAATTTATGCACGTATTAAACATGCTAGGACCAATAGAAGAGGTCATGTTAGCGAAAATGTAGCTTTATCAATGCAAAATTGCTCAGTACTACAGGCTGCATAAAGCATCACAATACTGAACTATTACTTGAATTCTATTTGTTATTATTAATAGGAGTTCAGTGACACCATTTTAATGATTTTTCTATATTACTTGGTCCAAGTCTATATCTTCAATCAATATATTCAGAGGAATTACCATTTACAGTGAATATAAGCAGGAATACAATGTAGACTATAATAGGATGACTATTATTAAATAAAAACTGCAATTTTTTAGAGTAATAATTATGTTTTGTGTTTTACCAACAGCAATCTTTAGTAAATTGATTGCAAATCAACCTGATGAGACTGTTGACTGATACTTTTATGTAAGTTATTTCATCACAGCTGTATGCATAATATCTATGTTTTAACACTGTAAAATTAGGATTATATATGATGTAAGTGAAGTTCAATTCATTGTAATGCC